CACATCTTCTTATATCTAGATGATAGTGGTCTACTTTAAAAGTCTATTATTGCTATTATACATGTAAATGATAGTGGTCTACTTTAAAAGTCTATTATTGCTATTATACATGTAGATGATAGTGGTCTATTATGGCAGATATTCAGTTGAAATGGCACCCTTTATTATCGAAGGAAAAGGTAGATTAATCTGGATTTCTTGGACCGTTTTCGTATGTGTATATGGTCATCAAAAGTTAAATGCAGCCCTTAGAATGTATGAAATTATTTTATATGTTGTAATACGCACATTATAAACTAAGATATTGAACTAACACATATATTAGAATAGAGAATGGAAACGGGGAATGTGCCAAAGAGACAACAATCCGACCAAAAAGCAAAAAATATTTCAAGGCCAACAATGGGTCTACAACCCAGCGAGAAAATCCTGCACCCGGAGGCGGCCTTCATCTTACACCTTAACAATAATGTATACTTGTTCAGCGAATTGACGCCAAACTTAACTCCGAAACATGCAAATGAAACAAATTAAGACACACAAGACTAACAAAGGCTATAAGTTCCTGACTTGAGACAGGTGCAAAAATGTGGCGGGGTTAAACATGTTATGTGAGATCTCAACCCGCCTATCCCTCTAGCCAATGTGGAATAAAAACAAACACACAAAAAAACGCACAGTAAAACTCAGTTCAAAAGAAGCGCGAGTCCGATGTTAGAATAAGTAACAGAAGAAACTAAGCAAGATGACAATTATAATAAGCATAAATTAACAAAGGACAACTTAACTAGCAGTCACAGACACACCAGGTCCAGACTTCAATTAAACCGATTGTTAGATTACATGTATGTCTTCATTCTAATAAATAATTATTAATTATTGCATTTATCTAAATTATTTATTTTTTTTAGTAATCTGTGTCAAATATACTACAATTATAAGTAATGAGAACCTACTGAATACGATACCTTAATCATTTATATATTAATAGTGCATCAGTTTATTGCATTATTGAACAAAACTGATTTGAAGTGAAATATATTTTGCTTTGAATTGCGGAAAAGCCGCATATGTAGAGATATCTAAGGATTCATTTCATCAATAGGATGAATGCAAGTACCGATTAATCTGTATTCAGCCGCCTTTTGATCATTATGAAGCTTTATTAACCTTGAGCACTAAATGACGGCATTATTTTTTTATTACTCTGAAAAATGAGTAGTTAAAACGACGAAAATAGAACTAAAAATGTGTTTAGTGGTTCAAAACAATTCTTTTCAAATTTCAATAAATTTCAAAAACCGTTTATCTATAATTTACCATCTGGAAACCACAGAATGTTTACTTTTTTGTAACACTAAAGTACCATTAATCTGATTAGTAAGAGTGAACATCAAACTTAACTTGTGTTCAGTGGTCTAAACATGCCCGTGATATTTCAAAAAGCTGTTCTCTACTAATCATCTGGAAACCACAACTTAAAGAATTATTGCAACAGTCAAGTACCATTACTCTGTAACGGTTAAGGTGAAAACAAATAAAATCAACCTCAACATGAGTTAAGAGGTCAAAAACATTCCATCAAAATTTCAATTAATTTTTAAAAAACTGTTCTCTGTTTATCGCTTTGAAACAAAAAGTGTGACGGACGGACAACTGGATTTCTATAAACCCCTCGACTCTATTGAGCGAAGGTATCAAAATAGAAAGAGATAAACAATGATAGCACATACACTTTTTTGACATCAATAACTTTGTCAAACCTCGTGTAATTTTCGGAATTTTGGGCAGAAGCTTCTTCGGCATTCACAGGCGAAACACAGGGATCCGCGGAACCTGTTTAGAATGTAATTTACTATTTTACAGATTCCGACGACGGACTGTGTGAAAATTTCAATATAAGGCAAGCCTTGTTTAGCGAAAATGAACTGATTATAGGAGCATTATAGTTAAATCAACATAGAGCACAAGCGTCGCCTACACTGTTTTTTGCAAGTGGATAAATAAAGACAAAATACAGTTGCCGAGTGAATATCTTTTTTGAATATATGTTAACTGTTGATATTTTATGACATAATTTATATGACAGCCATAAGAGTAATTGCTTGAAAATATTTTTGATTCATGTGTAATAAGAGGCCATATATTATCACAATCGGAAGAATACAGATATCAACATATTTTCTTCTAACCTTCGATGATATAAAAACAAAACAAATCTAAAAACAAGTCAATTTTTCGTAACCAAATAGCACTCTGCACGAGTTCATTTTCAGTAAGCCATGATTATTATTTAGATATTTCATCAGTTTATTGCATTATGAAACAATACCGATTTGAAGTGAACTGTTTTGCTTTGAATTGCGGAAAAGCCGCATGTTTCTAAGGATTCCTTTCATCAATATGATCATTGTGAATACCGATTAATATGTATTCAGCCGTTTTATATGGTAAGAATAAAAACTATGCAATTTAATAAACTTAACACGCAATCTTCGACTGGCAAGAAATAACTGAACATTATGCTATTTTGATCCGCACCTGTGTAGATCTTGGAGATATATCTATTGACGAAGAGTAATATTTCATAACAGAGAACTAGTAATACTATTTTCCCTTCATCTTCATCGTGATACAGTATATTAGTAACTTCAATGAAGTGGTGGTATAGGTAACGAATATAAAATAATGTACATGATTATAATCTTTATTGCATTGATTGATAATTTAATCATATAGTATTGCCTTTGATTTGTTATCTCTACTTAACAATCAAGAAACTTCATGTATATCATTACTACATCTATGAATAAAATTATCTCAAAGTTTAACTGATATAGATATATAGTCAACTTGTTTCTCGTCCGATAGATAGACCCGTATGTATGTTTGCAGGAGAGGGGGTTCCGTTTTGGCTGTCCGGAATGTATGAACAACCTGACATGCCAAGTCGCAATGTGGAATATAAACACAATGCCCTATGTTGACAGAATACTACGATATCTGCACGTACACCATTCCATGTAATAACGCTTTGAGTGGTCTGTAAATTATTTATTACATAGTTTAAAAATTATGCACCCACAAAACATACCCTGCTTTCCACTAGCAATCACAGTTCCCCATCATCTATAAAATTGATTTAGTGTTTAATTTGCTTACTTCCTAAATGAACGAAATATTTTTTACATCCATTATTGTCGTATTGTAGTTTTTTAAAACATGTTTATATGTAAGAGTGAAAGAAAATACAAAGAAGACGTTAGAAAACCATAGATCGTCGAAAAATAAACTAAATACGATGGCTGAAACATAACCAGACAAAATGACAAAAACAAAACCAATTCACAAAACACAAAATTTATTACACGTGCTAATAGCAAATATTTTTAAAAATAAGAAGATGTGGTATGATTGCCAATGAGACAACTCTTCTCCAGATCCCAAAATGAGATAGAAGTTAACAACTATAGGTCACCGTACGACCTTTAACACTGAGCAAAATCAATACCGCATAGTCAAATATAAAAGGCCCCGTAAAGACAAATGTAAAACAATTCAGAAGATATAATTATCGGCCTGATTTATGTACAAAAAAATGAACGAAAAACAAATATGATATACAGCAACAAACGGCAACCACTGAATTACAGGCTCCTGACTTGAGACTGGCACATACATAATTCGTCGGTGTTAAACATTTTGAAGGCCCTAACCATTTCCATTAATTGTTTGCGCAAAAAATACTCGTCTCTGAGATCTCACTTCTTTATAAAGAAAAGTGAAATTTTTATATATTTTTTTTTAATTTTCGACTGACAACTTTATATAAGACCCTTATTATGGAATACATTCTTTTACAAATAAACAATGACATGTGTGAAATAATACTTATTGCCTTAAATACGAAAATATATAATGCATTCAGATTTTAAATGCAATGTCTAATATATGAAGTGCTTTAGAAATGGACATTTTTTTAAATTTGTTTGATGTGATATGTGTATGTTTCTTCCGCTAAAAATTTAAAAACTAAAATAATTAATTCTTTGAAGGTATAAAACATATTGCAATATGTGACATCCATAGACGTCTTTAGCCTTATGTTGTTTTCTTTTTCTTTGAAAAAACAAATTGATTTTAAGATCGTGAACAAGCTTTAAGTAGTAAATAGTATAATAATTTTACAGTTAATAAGTATATTCCCCTTTACAAATAATTGGCTATTCCCCTTCATTGAACAATCCATGACATGCTTTAAGGATTTTATTTGCATATTACTTTACACGTATATTTCAATACATGCACATACTAAGTTAAGGTGAAAGATGAAGTATTTTATACAGTATATTGCTATTTAATTGATAAAAATCATCGCGGGTAACTCTTCTGCATGCTTACTCTGCAGTAATTTTTTTCTTGATTTCTTGATTTTCTGATTGTTACTTGCTGCTTGTCTTAGTTTTGATGGTTTTGAATTTGTTGTTAGTGTATATTTCTGAATGCTCCTTATTTCTGTTCTGTAAATTGTTGTACTGCGTTTCGATTTTTATTCCTAAAGTCAATATTTCATTTTTTGAAATGCATTCACTAAATGGTCGCATCAAATTAAGCAAATTGGCAATCATACTACATCTCTTTATTTTCATATCAAAATAAACAAACCAGGATTACGGATCATACTTTTATATTATCATAGATAAAGAACCTATAGTGTAGGACGGCATAATTTCATATCAACAGGATAACACTTAGCGCGTTGGGCTTGCTTTCAATTAACTACAAGCATTGTTTGATGCGGTATTGTTTAATATTGTTTTGGTTATATCTATTATGTCGGTATTGTACAGTTGTCCTTTTCATGTACTGATTTTAATTGTACATTCTTTTATCTACCTGTCTATATCAATGATGTCTGATAACTGTCTAGTAAAACTTTAATTAACCCTATTTTTCAGGTTTTTATATTTAGTGTACTGAGAAGACCATTATTTTTTCAGGTTTTTATATTTAGTGTACTGAGAGGACCATTTGAGGAAGATTTCTATCAATGTGTCGATAAGACTTTCCCTTACAAGCAATATCAAAAGATGTACAACATGTTTTCGTTGATTACCCAGTTCATGATACCTCTAGGAATTATGGTTGTATCGTATGGTCTCATATTTTACACAATATCTAGAAAGTCTAAGGAGTTTAGAGGTAAGTGTTTAGTTACGACAAAGAAACTTGAATTACATGCAACTTATTTCATTAGCAATCATTGGTGTCTCATTAGCAATCATTGGTATCTCATTAGAAATCATTGGTGTCTCATTAGAAATCATTGGTGTCTCATTAGCAATCATAACCCATCTCCTTATATGTACATGCCTTACCGTTTGGATTTTTTTAACATGTTCTTCATACGAATGATCAACGAAGCCCAAATATGACCGTTACTTTTAGCTAAAATTTCATTATAGGATTTAATTGCTGCTATTATTACAATGTATCAGGATAGTTAAAACAGTGGCTAGACAGGAGATGTGTTCACGGTTTTCCAACATTTGATAATTAGACTAAAACAACATTAAGGATTAGGGGGTGTGTCCTCTCAAGGACTTGCATCTTGATATTTACCTGTAATTCACCTGCTTAAGTTCTTAACTAAAATATTGTTAAAAGGGGTATTTTTTAAGATTAATTGTAAAATATTATCAAAACATATTTTTTTTTTACAGTAATTGTTTTTTTCATATTTTTTAAAATAGTTTCTCAAGATTTTAAAAGTCGATATAATCTAGCCCAGTGATATATATTTTAATTTTACTTTGTTTTCATATTTTTCTCTATTTTCCATAATAATGTATTATTGATAACAATGTTGCGATCTTGAATAGAAATAAAACATTTTATATTCTGAGAGCTTTTAAAAATTAATAATAGCTTGAGTCATTAAGTTTATATAAAAGTATCAAACTCTGCTTATTATCAAAGATGTAGTATATTAAAATTTCTTAGTCAGTTTGCATTAATTGCCCAAAGCTTACGTGACAAATCGAGAATACTTGTAGCTCACAATTCAACAAGCCAGTTTCCACAATAAAACAGCCTACAGTTCACGTCGTGATGAACCCATTTTGTATTCTCCCTTTTTCGTGGAAAAAGTTAACAGATATACGACTGACTCTTCCATCTGCTCAAGACAGCATGCACCAGGAACATTGACTTCGGCTCATATGATATACTGACTGAACGACCAGGTATACGATATATGATTCTTCGCACTAGAAGACAACAGCTTCCGATGACTATATTTTTACATAAAACTTCGTTGTTGCGCATCGTTTTAGATTTGGGTATCTACATGTAACTCAAATACAAAAACATATAAAATAAACGAATAAATTACTAAACTGAGGTACAGTCAGTGAACATTTCGATTTTTCATGTTATTTTCAATAAAAAAAATATTTTTTTAAAAAAATCATTTTAAGATTATTTCTTGATAATTTTTTATGAAATTGTTTTAATTTTCCTAGTTTATAATATTTATGGATTTTTTTTTTTGTTGAAAAACTTTTTACTTTTGTAATTCAAACACGGATAAAATGATTACGTAACATTTCTGGTTATATTCAACCAAAAATATATGAAAAAACAATTATTGAAAATAAAATGTTTTGTTAATGTTTTAATATATACTATTATGATCTTTAAACAATATCCATTTTCACAACATTATTGTTAAGAACTGATACAGGTGAATTACACGTAAATATCAAGGTGCCAGTCCTTAAGAGGACTCCTAATCCTTAATGTTGTTTTAGTCTAATTATCCAATGTTGGAGAAACGTGAATAAACCGGAAAGGAAAGGGGTTTTATTTTTTATTATTTACGTTTTAGATTCTTTTTAGGTCGGATTTTAGGACCGAAAACATTAATCGCACGCGATGAAATAACAATATTTTTGTTATAAAACAAAACCCTATCTTAATCAAATAGTAGTTTAGGTTTAAATATCAACGCCTTTAAGAGCTTTAACAAAATCATTTTATTTCGCATTGTTACAGACTATTTAATATGCTTTTAATCCTGAAATAATGGTCTTAATATAACAACAAATGGGCACCACAGCACCAACTTCTTTACATACTCTAGCAAACTAAACATCTTAATATAATGTTCATATTGTTACGCAAATAATGATTAGGGACAAAAAAATATAAAATATGGAGGTGTGGTAGGTTCTAAACGACTAAAGGTCACCGTACGGCCTTCAAGAAAAAACAAAGCTCATCATACGGAATAGTCAGGTATAAAAGGCTCAGACATGACAAAACAACAATCGAAAACCAAATACGACAGACAAAAACTTACAACAACCACTGAATTAAAGGCTCCTGACCTGAGACAGGCACATATAATGTTTGGCGGGTTTAATCATTTTTGCGATCGTAACCCCCCCCCCCCCCCCCCCCCCTAAAAATTGGACAGCAGTATAACGGCACAACGTAAGAATAAACTGTAAATCAGTTTGAAATGGTTTGACTCAACTGATCGCCACAAAGCACATACACAACTAACATGTTTTTTGTCAATAAGTTCTATGCAATATTCAATGATTCATAAAATGAAATAACAGAATTCAAAAAAGCTTATGACACAGCACAAACCAAAACAATTTACTATAGATTTGTAAAACAAAAGTTTCGATTAAAACATACAAACAAACACAGACGAATATTAAAAGCATGGTCCAGAGGGCTTACCCATTACCAATAATTCTTTCATAGAAGATTCAAAACCCATTAAAAAATTATTTATGTTTTAAATAATGGCGCGAACATATTGGTGACCATATTTTAATTTGTTTGTCCACTTTGAAAATGCATGAAAATTTGCAAAGCAACTTACAAGGATTGATGTTAAAAGGAAAACTAATTATAATGATCTAATGTGAAGCGGGTGCTACCTGGTGGGCTCCCGAATGTTATTAATTTGTAATAGTGGATTTTACATGTTTGGTTTACTTGTCATACTTTTCGGCGATCAGATATATAATTATGCGGGAAAGTATTTGTTTCTTGGTTCAAGTTATCAGATACAATCGTTTGCTGCTTTATGTTTTACGAGCAATCCCAAAATAAAAAGAAAAGCAGACGGAAGTTTGAAAAAATTATGGCCGCCATGTTGTAACAGGTTTTGTAGTGATATAGTAAAGAGACCAAAGTTGACCCTTCTACCATTTATTTTATTTAATAACACATGTGAATTTTTAATTTTGTCATGGTGTTCACACAATTCATCATATTTGTTTTTAATCGAACCAAAAGTGTAATATTGATAGACGAAACAGTCGCATTCAATGTACGAATGTATTTATATTTGTAGAACCAGAAAATGCGTCAACATCATCAGAATCGGCGAGAGGACAAGTTAGGAGCACGTTCATGAGGAAAGCAAAACGAAAAGCTTTGCGAATGTCTATTTTTATTGTAGCAACATTCATCGTTTGTTGGTTTCCTTACTATGTTATATTTACAAGAAAAGCTTTCGGTGATTCAGAGGAAACATATGATGCTACATTATTGACAGTTTTAACAACGATTGGTCAGTCTAACGCAGTGTTGAATCCTATTATATATGGAGCTTTTCATTTGTGCAAGGTGCATAAACCAAGGTTAGTCGGGAAGGCCGCTTTTTCAAAACCCAGTAATAAAAATGACTGTAATGGCTACATCTTCTTGTTAGTGCGGACTACGGATGTCAAATGTATTAAGATAAGACCCAATGAAATTCGACTGGACATCTCAAAATGAGGTCAGTGAAATTCAATGTTATTTAGTTTCTTTGTATATTTTCTTCTCTATTTTGGTTTTCAAAATTAACGAATATGAAATTTCTGTCTATTTACTGGGTAACGAAAAAGCGATGCTTCTTTTAGAACTTCTATGTTGTCTTAGTGCCAAATGTCATAAGCAGATTTCTACGTTTTGGGTCATAATAGATGAATCCAAAGATACCTTTCTATTTACCACATCAGTGATTATTGTATGTTTTTTTTTAAAAAACATCAGATGTTGACAGTTTATTTTAAAACTTATGTAGTGTTGATTTGAAGTCATTCTTCATCATAACTCTGTTAAAATAAATATCCATTATTTTCAATTTAATGGAATAATTTCGATGAACAGTCTAATAAAAGCAAAATATTTAGTGGACATATCCTGGACTGGGTCGAAAACGGAAAGTAAGCTTACAGTAACAGTATTTTCAGTGTTCATTAATGACCTCTTACCATGCAACAAATCGTTAAGGGAGATTTATAGCATCGTTCTAAATAAGGCTAAATTATCTAAAAAAAAAAAAACCATGATTCTTAACATGTGAATAATTATTCTTAAAATGTGGATGGGTCAACTACTGGTTACGATGCCTGTGGCTCGCAGAAATCAATTTCATTGTAAACGTTGTGGTAAATAGACCTTCAAATTCAGTTAAGCACGTGACTAATCTAGATCACGCATTTTAGATCCAGTAAAACAGGAATGAACATTGTAAAACTGGTCACAAAAAAAGATATTTGGGAATTCTTTATTGTTTTTTTTATTCAAAAATTCATTGAAACGTAGGAAAATTAAGAAAATAAGAAAAATGTATATTAATGAACAATCTATTGAGTTCCACTTCTATCAACCGACTCCCCTTTTCCATGGAATAGTGATCGCGAGTTGGAACGACTGCAATCCCTAACTGCTCATGACATTTGTTGAATTTGTAGTTTGTTCATTTCATATAACAACAATTGTCGTTTTTAATACTAAGTTTATAAATATTCAATGTCTATATATTTAAAATTGTATATAGTTTGTAGATATGTTATTTCGTTAGTTTGGTGGTAGATAATAAAATGAATTAATATTTCTTGGTAAGAGAGAAGGTTTAACAATTATCCCAATAAACAATGTATATTTATTGTACAGATTTAGCCATTGTGACCATGTAAATGAAGCCAAATGCTTAAAAGAAATTGACAGTACTTAATCATGAAAGCTTTGCTACCGACTTTTGCCATTAATACTTCGATGTAAATCACCATTGTTTAATTGAAACAATAGGAAACACGACGAAATGCAATACTAGATTTGGGTTCATGGTGAGGTAACGTTGATGGCATTCATCACCAGATACATTTGAAAGATGTTTGACCTTTCGACATACGAACACAATTTCAATCTTAATTTAAAAGGCATGTTTATTGTGACTGAAAATTGCTTGAATTACACAATTTCATCCCTAATGATTCCAGTTTCTATTTTGTTTTTACAATTTATTACTTTGATTTGAAAGTAACATTTTACTGCCACGTAACATATACCTGATATCTCCTTTTCAAATCAAACGTTAGTTTGCACGGATACTTGTATGGTCGTTTCGTGAGCTGTTCACCATTGTAAAGTTTCTGAACCACACATTATAGTTACCTTAAAATTATTTGAATCACAGATTATTTGTGTAAAAAAAAAAAGGTAAAACACGGAAAATGTTCAACGTAAATTTCACTTATTTCTACTCCCTTTAAAATTTAAGGAATATAATCAGTTTTTTTAATAAGAAATTGCCTAGATCTCACTGTATCATGATTGAATAAAACAAATAAAGCTTATCTATCAATCAGAATAGTTAAGATTGAACGATGAAAATAAACAATTCTACTAAAATCGAGAATTAACACAATAGTAAACACAACCAAAGAAAATCACATAGACGTAAATAAAAATAACAATTTATAAACTTCGTCGTCCGAAGCACTGGTTCAACTTTCAAGAACTCTTAAACCTAAACCTTTAAAATCCAGGGATATATCAATATGAAGAACCGTTAAGAGCCAAAATGGTCCTCAAAAGTCAACTTTGCCTGCGGGAGTTTGAACAAAATATTCTTAATATTTTTTTTAATTTGTCAACGGTGAAATTAAACCCAAAACATTTGTTATTAATCGTATCAGCACCGAAGCACTGGCTACTGAGCTGATGATTCACCCGGAGACTAGAAACTGTCCCCAGCAGTGGTGTTGACCGAAAATGTATAACTAAATGTAAAATTACTTTTATACCTTACTTTGTGCGTTCAGTGTCCAGGTAAAATGGTAGGTTGAATAAATATTAAGATTTTCTTCTAATTACTTTTTTTTTTAATTTATATTCAGACTCTTCTTACAAAAAGTACGAGGAATAAATCCAACCTAGAGAATCGTTAATTGAATTTTAAATGAATGTCATTTACTTGCGTAGAAATCACAAGTTAGTTTAAGAGATCATTGTAAATTCGAAATTCAACATCTTTTGAGTAAAAAACGAAGCTGAACTAATTTTGTAATTGTTTCTCTGTATTTCGAGGCGGTATTTCACTTATTATAGCTAACCTCATAGTTTCGCATTTTTCGCATTAAGAGAAATATTGCAACAATTTCTTAATCTACTCTGGAAACTATACGTAATTCAAGCCCAAGTTGAGCAAATTATCATGTACTGTAGCTTTTGGCTATGTAAACACATTCTAATGTTTAATTATCTACTTTCAGGTTTATGAAAAGAGACAAATTACCAGGAACATGCGATAAAATTCCTTTTATTCGCCGTTACACTAGACATGAGGACCAAGATGTGGCTAATGGTACAAATATGACAATAGTGGCGATGAGGCGAAATACTGTTATCATGTGTAAATGTAGTCAAACTCCAGCCATGATAAAACAATCAAAGGTCCCATGTATCATTATCATGTGCAAATGTGATGAAGGGACCACACCGTTGACGGAAGAAGTAACTTCTTCTGGAGATACATGACAGTACACCAATGACAAATAGTCATTAAAGGAATAATATTGAAGACCACATACGTTCAAACATTTGCTCATTTTGTCACACCTTTAATAAAATTAGTATACTGTAAAATTAATTCAGAAATGTTAACATCTAGTAATTGATGCTGTTGTTGATGAACCGACATATAAACCACATCTATGATTCAAATAATAAAATTAGTATGATGAAAAAAATATTCGAGTTTTAAAATCCGCGATAATTATCACAGCGAATTTTCTCATAAACAAATATATGGTGTAAAAATGTTTTGGGTCCTCAATGCTCTTCAACTTTGTACTTGTTTGGCTTCATAACTATTTTGATCTGAGCGTCACTGATGAGTCTTATGTAGACGAAACGCGCGTCTGGCGTATTAAATTATAATCCTGGTACCTTTGATAATTATTTACATACAGTTTTATTTTTGGAAAAACAACATTTTTTTTGCAACAAAAAAATCAACATCACCTTAAGGCCTTCTATATCTTGGGTAGAACACTTTCGTGTTTCGAACGACTTTAAGATTTCATGGTGTCACGGAATAGAAGTTCCTTCATAATATAAGTTCCAAAAGGAAAAAATATTCTGGAATATTATTTCTATAGGAATAAATATTACAGTATTATTTCCTAGCGGAATAAATGGTATAGAATATTTGTTCCAACAGGAATAGATATTATGACATTGTTTATAACAAAGTTTCCAGTGGACATTTTAAAACAAATATACGTTGACACCGGAAGTGAATTTACAGAAATATTTTTTCGTATGAGTGATATTTTATGACAACATGGCTGGTGAATCCCTCGGGTACTAAATGACCAAAATATATTGTTATCAAACAAGTAGTTGCAAAAACAAAGATATCAGTCATATACGTTGGAAACCGCGCGTTTCCGACACATCAGCAATAATCAGTGGCGCTAAAAAAACTAGAAGCCCTCAAGAGCCTGTGTCGCTCACCTGATTCTACTTTGGTTTTGGAAATCATGTTAAAATAGATTAAAATCATAACAGATACCCTAATAATGAGTGGAGCCAAATTTGGTTTAATATTGGCCCTGTAATTTAATAAAACATAATCTTGGTGTCCATCTTGAACAGTAAATCAGCAACAAAGTAGCAACACTTCACCAGTACCTCATAAGAAACATTTATGCCATGTTTGGTTTCATTCCATTCAGTGCACCTCTAGAAGAAGCATTTGTATGTATTTCCAGTAGGGTCTTATGTTCAAGGAAGTCCCCTCGCTGGCGGCCATCGTGGATGAAGGATCAGCTTCAAAGTAACAACACTTAGTCAGCACCTCATAAGGAACATTCATGCCATGTTTGGTTTCAATCCATTCAGTGGTTCTCTAAAAGAAGACATTTGTATGTATTGTCCGTAGGGTCCTTTGTTAAACACTGCCCCAGCTGGTGACAATCTTGGATGATGGATCGGCTTCAAAGTAACAACACTTGGTTAGCACTTCATAAGAAACATTCATACCATGTTTGGTTTCATTTCATTCAGTGGTTCTCTAGAAGAAGTTCAAAATGTAAAAAAGTTAACGACGAGGACGACGGACGTTAAGTGATGAGAAAAGCTCACTTGGCCCTTTGGGCCAGGTGAACTCAAAACAGTAGGAAGGCCAAATCAAAAAGCAAAGTTAAAGAGCATTGAACTATTAAATCTTGTGCCAAATAATTGTATAATTAGTCAAATTGAATACTCCAAAATACATTTAAATCGAAAAATTGCCGTTTTTAAAAGTTTGAAACAGCATTGATAATATGCAACATTACTTTACCGGTGTCTGAACTTGCTAGTTCGTTTTTTTCCAACAATAAACCAAGAGAACATAAATTTCAGTGAATCACATGCACTCGGTACATCACTCGGATAAGCGTTTCCTGCTGTACATGCATTACCTGTCATGGGAATCCTGATCAAGTAAATCATGTCATGCAGGATTATTGATGAACCATTAATATAACTCTATTATTAACTTAGGATTAGACAACTTTTCTGGCGTTTAAAGATCCAAGACTGAGAATATAATTAGGTCTCTCGTGAGTTTAGACACATACCTATCGTTTTGGTCAACCAATTTATGATCGTGACCGTAAATTTTGTGTAGTGTTGATTTCAGTCTTACTTTATAGCAATTTTATTTAATTTTAGAATTCTTTAACAGTTTTTTTATCTTAGTTTTGACATTAATTTCAGCTTTGAATACTCAACATTTAGCCTGACCTTGTGATATTTGATTATTGGAGAAACATTATTTCAATTTCAATAAATAAATGTCAACTATTATGCAATTTAAAAAAACAACATTTTATAACATATTCATATGATGAAGACATAATCTTTTGATCAGTTTAATTGAGGTGTGCAGCTGGCATGTCAGTAACTGCTAGTAGTCCTTTGTTAATTTATGCTGATTATTGTCATTTTCCTTAATTCCTTCTGTTTCCTATTCTATTATCGGACTCGGGAACTTTTAAACTGCGTTTTACTACGCGTATTGCTGTGTATTTGTTTATTCCACATTGGCTACAAGTATAGGGGAGGGTTATATCTCACAAAACATGTTTAACCCCGTCGCATTTTTGCGCATTTGTCATCTCAAGTTAGACTTTGTCCTTTGTTAGTCTAGTATATTTTTAAATTTTGGTTCATTTATAAGTTTCGGAGTTTAGTGTGGCGTCCATTTTGCTGAACTACTATACATTATTGTTTACGGGGCTGCTGAAACCCGCCCCCGGGTGCAGGATTTGTTCGCTGCGTTGGAGACTAATTGGTGGACTGTTTTCTGCTAATTGGTCGGTCCCTGTTTCCATTCTATCATATACGATGTCCTGTTTAAATTTCACTCAGCGTTTTATTGAATTCCAATGATAAATATTTTAGGGACGCGGGAATGAAATCATTTAGTTGATCTTAAGTTCCTACTACATAATTGCATATATACAGTTTATTTGTCTTGTTCTGCATCACTGTTTTAAAAACCAATCTAACACACACACAATTATTTTACTAGTGACATTAGGCGTACTGTTTATTAAAGTAATATATATATATATGTAGATCTAAATGCCTTGGGTTGATTTCGAAGGGCATCTCATAAGGTGTGATCATTTTTTACTCCAGTTTCATAAAACAAAAAAAGAATGGAAGACGATACAAGCTGGTGCTATAAAATCCAAGTCGAAGAAATACATCCAAAACAAAGTTTCAAAGAAAGACTACGAAAAGACAAAGAAACAGTCTATTCAAAACTAAAGATTGAGCAAAAAAAAGTTAAATCACAAAAATACTGAACTCCGAGGAAAATTCAAAACAGAAAGTCCCTAATCAAATGGCAAAATCAAAAGCACAAACACATCAAACGAATGGACAACAACTGTCATATTCCTGACTTGGTACAGTACAACGCAAACCAAACCAAACACCGGCTTAAGATGTTTGTTTAGACTAAATTATAGTTACGACGAGTTAAATGACCATTTATAAAAAGAAATATTTTGTTCACAAAATGTACTTACCAACCATTTTATATTTTATTTCGTTTAATTTTGTTCTGTGGTCTTATTGATTGATGCTCACTAGGAAAGACATTCGAAAAGAGTATTTGAAATATATATTTTATTACATGTATGTATTGTTAAATTGTTGTTAAGATTTAAAATAAACACGAGTAAACATGGTGTGATATTATTTGCCAATAATTCTCTACAGAGTACATCATATCTTGTATCATCAATAGATGCTATAAACATATTCATTACGTTATCCAATTATGTCTCCTTAATTAATATCACGATGGATATTGGGTCTGTGCTTCTAGCATTACAAAAATAGAATCATTTCAGACACCAATAACGTCTAGTTGAAAATGTGTAATGTATATTCTGGACGAGAAAACTTATAATAGAAATAAAACTGTCTGTCGTTGGATAGATATTAATACATTTAGAAGTAATTGGAATGTTGACAACATCTTTTAATTAATAATTGAATGCATTTTTATTGTTTTATTGTCGTGTTTAATATATACGAACCCTATGATGTGACTATTTCTGAACTGATTTTCAGTGTGTGTTTTTTATACCTTTTTATATTAGTGACGGAGATCAAAAGGAGAGGGTTGAGTACATTTATATATTCAACCCTGTCACATGTATGTCACTGTGTCTGTCAGACAACTAGGTTGATAATGGTTGGTTTATACCCCAATGTGGATTTCCTGTCGATATCAGATCTAAGGTATTGTCTGTTACATCCATTCATATTTTTTTTAAACGGAGCGATTTAATAGATGCTAGACACATGATATATACAACAATGTTTATTGGTGAGGACCTACTAGTATTTATTTGTTTCCTATTTTGATGTGTTGTTGAGCTGTTGTTTTATTGCGGTGTACCATTACCTTATTCTTTCATAAAGACAAACAAGCGGATTAAATTTTGACTGCACCTGAAGAATTCTTCTCTTCTTACAAACGGGATATCGCAAACTTATTTTATGTTTATAGGGCCTTTAAAGATAGATACGATCAATTATTGATGTGTTTCCATTGCTTTTGGTTTGTGACCCGGATTTGTTTCAGTTAAATCGATTTATGACTATTGAACAGCGGTATACTGTTGCCTTTATTTGACATGATAAGGTCTTTTGAAGCTTTAGATATTATATGAACGTACAGTGACCTATAGTTATGGAGATCCTCATCCTTTCGCTTATATCTGTTTCATTTGCAATTATACCATATCTCCTTGTTTTTAATAAAGGTATAAGTTGACGAAAAGAGGAACACACTTGGATATCATTGTAACGCAGATTGTCTATTAAAAAACACGCTCTCCATACGTAAGAAATATGTCAGTAAACAATTATGCATCTAGATGATGACAGTTTTAGAGCTAATTTTTTTTTCGATTAGAGGAATGTTAAATAATGTCTGATTTGGTCAATTTTTCAAACATGATGTGCTTTTACACGTTAGCTATTCCTTACCAAGATAATATTAATTGGTATTTTCAATCTGCCTTTAGTCGATTGCATTATACGTCATGTAGTCTCTGGTGAATAGTTGTCGTTTTTGGCAATCATATCACATCTACTTGTATTTTTTATTTTTAGTAAAGATTGAGGCAG